CCAACCATTTCTCATACCTATTTCCCTGAAGTCCGTTAACATCATAATTGCTTTCTTCTGTACATTCAGTTCATCAATATTCTTACAAAAATGGAGTGCTCAGAACTAAATGTAATATTCTTGGAATGGCCAGATCAACAGACCATAAAGTGGAATTATGACTTCTGATCTTGACCCAGTCCAAGACTTTACAGTTGTTTTAAAACTTGTAAGTTTTAGTTGCCATATCATGAAGTAGTGGAAATTACATTTGTTGGTCAATACAGCAACTGGCCTATAACCTGGTTCAAGTGATAAAGATTAGTGAAAGAAAATATTCACTGATTGGCCACTTAGATTTCAGACTTAATACTGCGTTCATTGTTAACCCTAGAACCTTTGTCTATCTAAGGGACATTTTTGGCAATTTGTTTAGCTGCTAATCAGATCTGTGGGACCTCAGTTTCTGGCAATAGAGCGGGAGAGAATCTCCAGGATTGGGGACATAGTTATGAAATGCAGGTATCTCGTTGTAAAGTTTCTTGGTCTTTTAATAGTTGATTGGTTTTAGTACTACATTTACAAATCAACGCATACTCTATTGTACACTTCAAATTTTATTAGCTACTTAAAGTACTCGGCAACATAATAAAACAAAGCAGAGTGCAAATAAATGAATATGCCAACCCAAAAATAAGCAGCTTTTGTTCTTTCTGAACTTTGGTTGAGCCACTTAGTGTTTTTCAGATATCTGCCAAAAAAAAAAAAAAATAGAAAGAAAGAAGAGAAAAAAGAAAACAAATATGAAGAAAGAAGAGGCATGCTGAATCTTGCCTCTGTATTTTCTAACCTTAAATTGATAGGAAAGATTTGTGACAATCTAGATTGCACAAAACACCAGACCATGGTGGGATTGTAGTCAAATCGCGACCTTATGGACAACATTCCTCCAGGTCTTCCTGTCCTCTACCATCTTCTGGAGTCTAATTAAGCTCATGCCGACTGCTTCAGTGACTCCATCCAGCCACCTCATTCTCTGCCATCCCCTTCTTCTTTTGCCCTCAATCTTTCCCAGCATTAGGCTCTTCTCCAGTGAGTCATTTCTTCTCATTAAGTGGCCAAAGTCAGAAAGAGATATGGTTTTCCAATTAATTAGGAGACATTTCCTAATGGAAAGAGTTATCAGCCAGTGGAACAGGTTGATTCAGAATGTGGTGAGTTCTCTCTCATTGGAGGTCTTCAAGACCTAGGCTAGATAGCCATCTGTCCAAACCTATTTCTCCAAGCAGGAAATGTAGATGTGCTGTGATATCTCTTCAACCTCTAGGTTTCTGTGCTGTTGCCTTCAACAATTTAAATAGATAGGTAGACTATCTAAAGTCATCTATATGACAGTTAACTATTAGTTGTAGCCATTCCTCTCTTTTTCAAAATCATCTAAATTGTCAGCCACAACCACATCTAATTGCATTGTATGCCACAATGTAATACGTTCATTTTTATAAAAAGAAACTGCATTTAGTTTCAATAGTTGACTTGTTAAAGTAGAAGAAAAGCTGATATCATATACTTTTCTATTGTGTACTTGGATTCCACTCCTTTAGCTTAAAGTAAAAATCACCACATGGTTTAGACCTTCCTTGTATGGGAGCTTCTGTAACTCCCTAGTCATTCTACTTGCTCTTTTCTGTGTAAAATTAAAATGCAAGAAGGTATGGTTAAATGGAAATGAAGAGGGAAAGAATGGACTATGACAATTGAATCAGAATCTTAAAATATGTCAAATGATTGGAGTCAGCTTTTACAACAGCAAGGATTTGTAGCATCTTATCACTTAGTAATCACTTAGAAGAGATGAAAAAGCCATTTTGACTGACTTGACATTTAAAACTTGACAAAATTTAAGGGGAATTTAAGGAAGGCTTGCTGATGTTGTCTGCCTTGTGACTCGCTATTTCTCGCAACAGAAATAGGAGGCCATTTGGTCACGTGGCTTTCTGGTTCATCATTGGTTTTAGTATGCAGTGTATCTTCCACAACAATTTACCAATGAGGACCAAAATTTCACTGTATAAGGTAAAGAGGAATCAAGTGGATGTTTCAATTAAGGGGGGAAATAACATTAATGAGGTAGAAGAGGTAGGACCAAATGGGGCCTATTTAAAATATAGAGGCATGAGGAAACAAAATGTTCATTTGACATCCCACACACATAAATATATTTATGATCATTTTCTAAACCAATCGAAATGTTTTCTCCCATCGATTTTTCCATTGGAGTCAATAACCCAATTAGATATGTGGGGGGGAATCTTTGGGTTTATACTTCAATCATTGGTTTTTAATATCTTGAATGAAAATATCTGAACTTTAGCCTAGAGGTTCAGAAAAGGCTATCAAAACAATTATTTGCCAGATGCAGGAAACAGCTGTCTGGATACTTCACGTCAGATTATCCTTGCAAATTACTTGGGATGGGAGGTCAGCCTTTCAAGGGAAGATAGATCAGGAAACAGGCACTACCTGAATTTGATATTTTTTATTGATATAGGCTATAGTAGGGGTGTCCAACTCAATTTCATTGAAGTTTGACCTCGGGGAGACCAAGGTGATCATGGCCAGCTTGACATCACTTGTGTCGGGGGCGCCGCTGGTGGCCCAAGTTTTCTGTCAGTGAAAATAGGCTCCCAAGCTCAGTTTTTGGCTGTGATGGCTTCCGGCAAACCTCTGCCAGTGAAAAGGGAGCTTGGGAGGGCAATTCACAGCCCTCCCAAGCTCTATTTTCACTGGCAGAAGCACCGCAGGCTGGTCCTTTGTGTTTCCAAGGCAGCCCCACAGGCCAGATCTAAGAACTCCACAGGTTGGATCTGACCCATGGGCTTTAAGTTTGACACCCCAGGCTATTATAACAGAGTTCTGAGAACATAACAAAACCAAAATAATTAAAAGTGGGCATCCTTTAATTTATGTCTCATGTTTCTTACTTACTCAGACTGGGCTCACATTTTGTTAAAGGTCATCAAACATTTTCTCCAAGGTCATCTCTGTACAGGTAGGTAGGTAGAACATTTATAGTTCTTCCACATTAAAAGGTGTAAAGAAGATTATGAGTACAAAGAGTTCATTTAAGTAGACAAGTGAAAGGGTTAGGATTAAAATCTCCCCACTGGACAATTCTCATGGGACCATGGCTTCCCCCTGACATACCTTTACCGCCATGGAAGGAGGATCATCGGAAAATACCCGTAAGAAGGGATTTAATATGGCTTGTATTAGAGAATCTTAAAGGGAGGACAACATCTACAGCCTCTTAGTCACAAAACTCAAACTTTTGACTAATACTAGGAGTATTCACAGAGGGTATTTAGCCATAGCTTCATTTACCACACCTCATCAAATAAGTTGGGTTGTCTGGGTTAATTTCCATTAAGTCTTAAAGCATGGTTTTTAAACCTTAGTGGTCTGTTTCACATATCTTTCTTGGGCTTATAGCAGAATGCAAAATGGGAGAAAAAGAACTGAAATAATGGGTTAAAATAAATCTACTGTATGTAATGTACAGAAATATATTTCACTCTCTTGGGTCTTCTCTTTAAAAGTTCAGAAATAATGACTCTAATCACCTTGTCAGATTATGAAATCCAAATATATCAATCTGGGACAGTGATGGAATTAAAAAAAAATTACTACCAGTTTTACTACCAGTTCTGTGGGCGTGGTTTGGAGGGCATGGCTATATGTGGCAGGGGATGGATACTGCAAAAACTCCATTCCCACCCCACTCCAGGTGAATAATACTGTAAAATCCACATTCTCTCGCCACCCTACTAACCTGCTTTCCATCTCCTGTGAAGGGCAACAAAAGAAGACCCAGCCAATAAGCTGGGACTCAGGAGGTGGGGCCAGTCAGAGGTGGTATTCCAAACTGCTGAAAATTTCCACTACCTGTTCTTTGAACTACAAAACATTTCTGCTACCGGTTCTTCAGAATTGGTGAGAACCTGGTGAATACCACCTCAGATCTGGGGGAAAATGAGTGACAAGATTGGAATACATTGATTTCCAATCTGATAAATTTAAATGACAACATCTGAGCCATTGTTCTGCCTATTCCCAGGCTTCTCCTTGCTTCTTTAGCCTGCAATTAGAAATAGAAATTAGCCCCATAAATTTGCCATGGACAAAGTTGCATATACATTTAGAGTTGCCCTGTTGAACTGTGACATTTGAGGATGCCAGTTTAATCTCATCCATTTCTCACCACCTGGATCAATTCAAAATCAAAATGGAAGAGAAGATGCTGCCAACACTTTAAATGAAGATTCAGCTACACTCTTCTTGCCACCCAAGAACTGATCCTAGCTAGAAATGTGTCCTATCATAGGACAAAAATATGGTTTTAATTTATCTAATGAAAAATTCAGTGAGTTTGATATAATGGTAAAAAAAAATGCAGCAAAGCTCTTGATACCCCAACTAAAATACTACTGGATAGATAAATGTTTATGGAAATTCTCTGTCATCCAGGTCATGATTGTCCCAAAGGTGTTTTCAAAAAGCAACTGGACCTTCAGAGTACAAACGACCAGATGACTTCAACGAATATGAATCCTTCCATTGCCCACCGTTCAGTCAGAATTGCAGAAGCTTTATTGAAAGAAAGAAATGGCTTTCAAGATCCAACATTAATTTTATTTGCATGCAAGCAAACAGTGATATGGTATTGTAGCTCAGTGCTGTGACTTGGATCAAAATGATGAGAGGGAAGACAGTCAATCACTTGCAATGCTTGAGGTTTCTGCTACCTCCGTTATGCACCTCCAATCTGGACTGTTTCAAGAGGTATCACCTGGGGGAAACAGTTACCTCGTAGTACCACATAATGCACAAACACACCCTTTATTGTCAAGTTACTATTTAGCTATAATTAACAGTCTTTGAGAATGTATAACAAAAGTATATTTGTAGGTGAGGAAACTTATATCAACCATTAACAGCAGAAAAATTGCACATCATTGAGTGCTGTGTCATCACCAGCGCCCTGATAATCCTGCACCCTTGTTCTCATCCCACAAATGCCACCTGACAGGCACTGATGGCTCCATGGACCCCATGCACCCCAGCTCATCCCAAGGCCAATCAAGCGAGTACCATCCCTGCAGGTGAACTGGATGTTGTTTGCTGCTGTATCATCACCCTTGTATGTCCTTTGTTGCACTCTCAGAGAAAAAGAAATCAAGTAACCTGTGTGGCAGAATTGTACATTGGTCCAAATTCCCCACCTGCCAAAAAAGAGAAAGATAGATAAGCATAACTTTAGTATGCGGAGAAGGCATTAGCATAGCCTTTTTTGCAATATGAAGCTGGACCCCATTCACCCAAGTAATCCCCATTTGGCACAGTGAGCACAGAATTAACCTTTCGGGCTTCGGTATTCCACAGGCAGCAGGAGATAGTCAAGAGATTCAGTCATAATGGCTAAACTCCTGGGTTAGGACTCAAGTTAAAGTCTACTTTGGGCTATATTATGTCAATAATTCAATTTAACTCCTTGAGCTATTGTAGAAAAAATTGGGAATCAAATTTGGCTATTGCCATAAAACCCTAGGAAAAATTGGATACAAAATGCTTCCCTTGATCTCTTTCCCAAGACTTCTCCTAATCCATGCCATGTTCAGAATCCATTACAATAGGGACTTCTCATGCCGCAAATTGTCTTGCACTATTGTATGAACCATTTCCCCTCAAAAGAAGACCTCTTCCTTTTATTACACACCAGTGAAGAGGTGAGTCATTATTTAACTAGAAAATCCACTGTGGAAATCCAGTGCCTCATTTTCTTAGTGGAAGTCTGGGGTTACCTTTTAACATTAAATATGACATTCCACAGGAAAATAGAATTCTCCCTCGGGCTGTCACGTGGCTCTTCCCCATGGTTTTCTTTGGGGAGAGAGGATTTTGCAATAAAGAAATTTGGAACATCTCAGACGTCCAGTTTGAGGCACTTTGATTTCTGAGACCTTCACTTGCAATGGACCTATTTAGATAATTGGATAAATAGGTAAAAGGTATTGCAAATATTACAGTTACCGTCCAGGCTAGGTAACCCCAGTAATCTGGTAAAAACTATTCCCTAGTATGGTGACTGAAGAGCCTGGCATTTGATTTTGAAGGGCTATGCCCAGGATTCAAATATATGACATTAACAACAACAACAACATTCCTATCCTTCATAAATAACTCTTGCACACAGAGTTCAGCACTGCAGTCCATGTCTCTTCACAAAGAGAGTTATAAGAAGAGCAAATAGATTCATAAACTGCACAACAAGAGAAGTATGTGGGTGACTAATGTCCACAAGGGGCCTTGCGGGAATGAATGCATATTAGGGACGAACAACGGAAGGGAGCAAAAGTGACATTTTCAAGATTGCATAGCATTGAACTAACCACTAGTCATCTCCTCTCCCATTCTTCATGAAAAGAGAATGCAATATGATAAAAAAGTCAGTTACTCACGGTCCAACTTTAGACTCAATTGCTTGGCCATCAGTACAGTACAAGCGGATTCCATTCAGAGCTGTATCATCCCCTATCACTTGGCGTTTTTCCACCTAAAAAAATATGACCTTGATAAAGTTCTAGATCAGCCTTTTTCCCCTTCAGATTTTAATTCACAGAAATGCCAACATTTACTCATAAATATTGGACAATGCATTGGCTCAAGATTAGATTGGCCACACAATATTCCACACAAAACTCAATGCCTTAGAGAATCAAAGAGGTTACACATCAATGCAATTACTTCTTGATTGCCTTTCTTGAAAGATAAGCCAAAGAACTAATTTCAAGAAAATATTCAAAAGTTAAAATAATGTTTTACCTTCAGGGAGAAGGCATTAGCATAGCCTTTTTTGCAATATGAAGCTGGACCCCATTCACCCAATTGATCCCCATTTGGCACAGTGAGCACAGAATTAACCTTTCGGGCTTCGGTATTCCACAGGCAGCAGGAGATAGTCAAGAGAAGAGCAGTGCTGGCAGAGAAATCCATGGAAACCAGTTTCCTTCCTGAAACCGAAAAGTCTTCAGATATTGCAACGTCCTAGAAACCAATCATAAAGTATCCGCAGTACCACCCTTATGAAAACATGCTTTTCAGTTCTTTTATTTTGTACCTTTGCATCAGCCGTAATTCCAGAAAACTGTCTGGATTTGATCCTCAGTTTTCTTGGTAAGATTTCAGAAATGGTTTGTCACTGCCTCCTTCTCCCTAGAGCCGAGATAGAGGGACCGGCCCAGTTGGCTTTATACCTAAGACGTGACTCAGTCCTCAGCCTGATGTCTTAACCAATACAACCAATTGTTTGTAACTATTTTTATTAACTGTTTCCTAGTATGATTCAATTGCTTATTGTACCTTATGATTCTTGACTCTTGATGAATATATCTTTTCTTTTATGTACAATGAGAGCATTTGCACCAACACTAATTCCTTCTGTGTCCAAACACAGTTGGCCAATAAAGAATCATATTCTATTCTATTCTATTCTATTCTATTCTACACCAAACTGGCCTCTACGATCAACAGCTTCGAGGATTTATGGCTTATAGCAAAAAACAGAGAGTGACGTGGACAATGAATTCAAATACATAATTTTTGGAATCTTGCACAAACTTTAATTCCTATAAAATTAGTCAACAAGGTATGTTGAGAAACCATTTGCATAATTTCCATAATTTCTTGCAAGTCAAAATGCATTTCGTCCTTGTATTAATGGAGGGAAGTTATATCCTACATTAATTTATAATATGTAATATACAACGAAACATAGCATTAATCATAAACACTACAATCAAAAAGTTGTAAACACATAATCACTGGGTGATATTGAGACATCCCTCTCACCTCAAGATTCTTGCCAAGAATATTGAAAAAAAAATGAGGAAAGGGATATTAGGTAAGCCATTAGAAGCTCCTAAAAGAAGAAGTAGAACTACATAAAAAATCTGCCTGGCCCTTGAACTGAGTAAATCCTGCTTTTTGACTCTATGAAAATGCCAGCTTGGGTTGTATTAGGATTAGTCTTCCCCACAAGACCATCACTTTGCACATAGGGGAGATTGCTAAGCCAGCCATTTTGGAAATATAACCATTAAATGTTTTCAACATTCCAAATTGGCTCATGCATCAAAAGATTGTCTCTTGCCCCTTACTGTTTTTTTTTCTGCTTTCTTACACTGTCTGTAGCTTTTCTCTTTCCCATTCTATAGACTCTTTTGCTCTGCCTTAATTTCTCAGTCTCTCCCTCCTTCTGAAATGT